AAGTGGGACGGAGGGAGTACTACTACTAGTATATAATATATACTAATATATATATATATATATATATATATATATATATAGGAGGCTGCCAGTTTGTCATCAGATTTCTGCAAGAATTCTCTGGTAAGAAAATCTGGAATAGAATTGTTACTTTCTTTGATATATTCTATATCAAAATCAAATATACTTAAAATAGCTTGTCATCGGACAAAAGTAATATTTTCTAACATCTTTTTCTAATACATATTTTGCGTTTTGACAATCAACACGAACTAAAAACCTTTGATTTAAAATATCATCTTGAAATTTACTAATGCATAAAACAATAGATAAAATTTCTTTTTTAATAATACTATAATTACTTTGTATTTTTGTCCAAACACCAGAATGGAAGCGAACCAATTGTTCAGGAGCATTTGGACTGACTCTCTGCTTGAGGATGCCACCATAACCAATCAATGATTTTGAAGGAATCAGTTGTGGGGATGCCAAGACAAGGCAAGGACTTGACATATTGTTTGGTAGATTTTACTATATTAGTATGAATAGAAGTATATGGAGGAGGATTACTTTGAAGTCGATCAAATAGGGATTTACATTGCTTGCAAAGATCTTTGTAGAAATCAGCAATGTAATTGAGAGAACCTAAGAATCTCTGGAGTTGTGACTTGTCCAGAATTTCATTTGGGAATTTATCTGTAAATTGAATGAATCTATCAATAGGACGAATTTGTCCTTGATGAATGTGATAACCCTGATTTTGGTTTAGAAGAGCTTGATTTTTGAAGCAGAGACTACCAAACCATTTTTCTAGATGATAGAAAGAAATGTTTTTAAATATTTCCAATGTTCATCAATTGACTTGGAAAAAAGGAGGACGTCATCAATGTAGACGATAGAGAAGTGACTGTGAGGATTGAAAATATCATTCATAATATTTTGGAATTCACTTGGAGCATATATATATATATCTTATGGTTTTTTAGGCCAAAATTGTTTTCAAAATTATGAAATAATTTTGAAATTGTGTAGTTTGTCTAATAGTCTCACTGAATCACTTTTAACTTTAGGATGCATTAAAGTATGTTTTTAATAGGATGCATTAAGGAATGGAGAAATTATTAGACGGTCCAAATTCATAGACACTTGGTGGATTAATTCAATTTAAACTCTTTGATTGAGAATAAAACTCCACAAAAGCGTATTAATTTATTATAAATAAATGTCAACAACAGTCTGAATTTAACTTGGGAGCATGGTTTGTCTGAATTCTTTGTTTTGATAATTTTGTTATAAAACTCGGGAGCATAAGTCCAATTTTCACATTCATTTGCGTGGTGTAATGGGTTTGCGCAGTGTAAATCGGCCAAACCAACCAATTCATGAAAGTGTATAATGATATTGGATCTTTGAGAATTGATTATGAATCAGCCAATACTGTCCGTGGCTGATCGGTTATGCTGGAGGAGTTATTTTGCGCCCAAACAGTTTTTCTCATTATTGAGGACTGAGTCGTGATCGGTGATATTTGAGGAGCCCTAAATCCTAGGCGCTTCGAGCGTAGAAAGCGTGAGCTAAAAGGCAAGCAACAACATTATTACTCTTTATTTTGTGTCCCAAACTTTTTTTAAAGTCAGATATTTTTAACATTAAAATATATATATATATATATATAAAAGAGGTGCTGTACCCATTTTATCCTAAGTACATACTCTATTTGTCCTGTAAAAAGTATCCACCATTTTATTTTTTACAGTTTTAAAATAATTATTTCAATTCAAAATCTATTATATTATTTTTTTTTAATATTCTTGATTTACCCTTCTTTCTTTGAAGTTATAAAAGCTTTCTTTAAAAATTCATTTGAATGGTATATTTGAAAATTCATTTTCTATCATTATAATAATAAATAAATAAAAATTACTGGCTTAAAAAGTTAGGTTCCAAAAAACAGGACAATTTTTTTGAGATGGAGGGAATGTAAAATTTGAAAAAAAAAAAAAAAATTGTTTGGAAAAGAACAATATGCTATTATATATTTAAAATTTCGTATCAAATGGCATCGGTTTGGTTAGATGAAAATTAATAGTGAAAAATGAAAGTAAAGTGACTGAAATAAAAATAATTTTTTCATTTTTTTATCTGATTAACATGATTTTTTTTAAAAAAATAATTATGAGAAACTATTAGTATATTGTTTGAATAGTATGAAATTTATTTAGAATAAAAGAAAGGGTAGCAGTATTAATTCATTTTTTTTTTCAAGAAATCATATTTTCTTTTTTAAGAAAAAATTATGAGGAAGTTAGGTTGTGATGGAAAGTAATTTTGTTTCAAAAAAATAATTTCTTTTTATGCTAACTAAATTTCTATTTCCTTTCATTTCCTTTTTTATTATTTCCATCTACATGTACCAAAGTAACCAAACCAAACCTTACATAAATTACATACTTTTGTAGTATTATTTTCCATGCTTTTTTTTTTTTAACTAAACTTAACCATTACCTTTGACTAACTAGAATAGTTTTATTTTAACCTATTTGAGTTTTTTTTTTTAGGTAAATGATTCTAAGTGAGTTGCTGACAATCCTACTACATTATGCATTCCGACTTTTCACACAAAATATTTATTTATTTATAAGTAATGCTAATATAAGAGCCATCTTACGACAAGAGGTATGAGTTTTCGATGTTTAATTAAAAGGATTGAGACAAATTTTTTTAGATGTGTATGAAATAAAATAAATTTTTTAATTTATTAATTAAATAAAAGAGCTCACCACGACTCAATCCACCAATTAAACCACTAGGTCATCCTAGATTCAGGAAATTATTTATTACTCAAGATTCAACAGTATGTTAAGTTTTTCTGGTTCATAGTGCTCTTTATTTGGAGAGAGTCCCAAAGCAGTTAGCAAAAGCAAAGACAACTATTCAAATGGGTTTCAGTCTGTCATAAAGCAGCATAAACTGTTCAAACAGTTGGACCCATTTAGCATATACTATGTCATGTTCAAAATTCGTGACAAATTCAGAGGGAGATCCAAACATGGGAACACATGTTCGGACAGTTAAACGTTGTGCTTATTGAGATACTCTGTAAAGCTCATTTTGTGTGATGTTTTTTTGAAACTATAAAATTATTATCATCACTTATTCACATGTGTAAGAAGAGTGACGGAAATCCAAACACAAAAACACATTTTCGAAACACATTTTTTGAAAGTAAGACGTTCTACCCATTAAACAACTGGGTAAAGCATTTTGTGTTATTTTTTAGAACGATAAAATTAATACCATCACTTAGACGTATGTATAAGAAGAGTGAGGATTATTGGATCCTCTGGAGTACTTCAATAGAAATTGAAAAAGTCTAATTTACAACTAACGATTCATTTACGGAGAAATGTGAAAAGGATTAAAATCTATCATTTAGTTGTATATATATATATATATATATAAATCACAGTACAATGCAAAATTTTTGATATGAGAGTCATGAGCATTATTATGCAATTTTTGATATATAAATTGCATAATAATGCTTCTTTAATCATCACAAGCATGTCTCATGACTCTCATATCAAAAATTTTGCATTGTACTGTGATTTTTATTTATACTGAAATTAACTAGTGCACTTGTGTGAAAAGTAATAATTAGTGGTAAAGTTGGGATACGCAATTCAGAAAGAATAGAATTATTCAACCTAATTGAAGCATACAATATTTGAGGAACATTTATAAGTGGTACTTGTCTAATGCACACCTTAATATATGATGTTTTAAGAGGCACCAAGTCAAGTGATTTACTCATTTGGGATTAAATTTTTTAATTATTTATTTATTTATTGTAAATAATTGTATATTGTGTTTGGAAAGTACTAAATCGGTATTTTGGAATTAGAATAAAAAATTAATTAATTAAAATTCTAAACTAAATTTTTCCAATTCTAATTTCTAACTTTAAGATACCAATTCATTGCTCTAAACCTGTTCAGTTTTTTAATTACATAAAAAATTTAACTTCCTCAAATTATTCCAAAAAATACAAAAAAAAATACAATTTCAATTATGAAAACACTATTATCAATTTTTTTATTGACTTTGTAAAACTTCTCCGGTCACCACACCAAGGGACTACACACACTAAATCATGTGGAGTATTGGTACTTAAGTTAGGAACGAGAGCGAATTCAAGAACGAGAGTGGAAGAGTGGCAACATTATGTCATAAATAGTGAGAATTTGAGAAAGAATATATGTAGACCGTGAGAGCGGGAGTGAGAGTGCGTTCGAAGTGTGAAAGCGACACCTATTAAGAAAGGTTGTGTAACTTAGATTAGGACTGTTCTTGGCCTAAAGGTGAAAATACATCACAATAATAAAAGAGCAAAAAAATGTAAAAAAAAATCCAATCCGTTTTATACACCCATTATGCTGCTGAAAAAATATATAATAAGCCGGTGTGCACTGAGTACATAATTACGTACAGCACAAAGTTACAAGCGCTTACGATAAATTTTATCCTTACGTTTATGATAGTTGTACGTTGAATGTACATAGAAGTTATTTGGAGGTTATTTGGCGTACGTTTTAAAGTTCAAGAATGATATTTTTTCTTCTACCAGGAATATCTACAATAAAATTGACACTTTAGAGAGCAGGATTCTACAATTTGTCCCAATATACTAGATGTGTAACACACACACACACATATCTGTCAATATAGAGATGGATAAAGAAATAAAATTATATAAGAAATTAAAGCATCCACATGGCCTCGCTGGACAAACATATAACAATTACTTTCAAAAGACTCATATCGGTTAAAAATAGAAGTTTCTTAATAAAGTTGGTATTAACGTTTTGGACGTTGGCATTAATGTATTGTTTAAAGATGCTCTGAAACAGATTTTTAGCAAGGCTAATGAGTGTGTTTGAAGCCAAAGGACCCCACATGGTATTAGTCAGGGCTTGCTTTCGGAGTAGCCATTAATTACCCATGGTTGAGTTTTTCAAGTTCTTGACATGTGGGTCTTTCACTTTGATGGTGGCGTTTTCACACTACTATTAATATGATGATGAGGTGTTGAAAACAGACACAGTGATTCTTCACTTTGTGCTCTCCTTTTTCTTTTCTTTATTGGGTAGGAGTGGTTTTGGCCTCTCATGTGGTATATGATTTGAATTTTGGAATCTTCTGGTGGTTGAAGAAGGCAGTGGTTTGTGTCAGAAACACTCTGGGTAGGGTTTCTTTAGGCCCAGAAAATTGAAGGGGTTGACCTAATTTTGGTGTCTGATTAGGCAATTTTAGTTTCTAGTAGAATGGGTTTGAACTGAGATTCGATTATGTTTTGAAGTGGGTATGTCCTATTGGAGTGGTTTTTAGGGTTTTGCTGGATATTCTGTTAGATTAAAGGCAGATTTGCCCCAAATTGGAGTTTTTGGAAGTGCGTTTCTGCAATTTTGGGTTATTTAAAAGAAGGGTTTTGCATTTTGTGGTTTTTCTAGGATTTCACTGATTCTGGTTTAGGAATTAGGTACTGGGTTTTGGGTCGTTTGGTCTCGATAGTCGGAGATTTAAGGGCACAAAAGTGGTGGATTTGGGTTTCTGGTTTTGCACTGCCTTGGTTTGGGACAGTAACTAGCGCATTGTTCCAAACTAAGGAGTTTATTTGGTCGAACTGAGGGTTTTGGGTGTGATAGAAGTATATTACCGAGTTTGGTTTACTTGAAGATCTTGCTATTGAAGTTTAACTGCACATAGCATTTTTGCAAAAATGGCTTGTATGAAGTTGGGATCCAAAACTGACGCATTCCAAAGGCAAGGACAGGCCTGGTATGTTCCTGATCTTTGCAATTCAAAATCCTCTCTGAGATCTATAATTAATGGAGTTCATGGTATTATTATCTTCTATCTTGTAAACCTGAAAGTCAAAGGATCTTTCTTCAAATTTCCCATCGATTCCCCTGTTTTACTTTTTTGCCTTTGGTTTTTCCCACTTTTTCTGGGTGTTTGCACTGTTTGTGGAGGCATCTGCGCTCACACAGTATTTGAGCCTTATGTTGTCCTAGAGTGTGTGATGGCTTAGAGAAGTGGAATTCATCTATAGATTTCTAATTTTAAGAACTCTCTTAAAATTGCAAATATATGGAATTTCATAGCAGTGTTTGGAACTTTTGTTTTAGATTCACCCAACTCTGCGTTATTCACTGCTTGCCAACATACCTTTAAAGTCAAGTGTTTCCCACCATTGTCAAGATATACTGATAGTTATTTTGACTTGAGCACTTGTATCAAACTACAAATCAATTCTTATAATTAAAACCTTTATTTTTTCGGCCATTTCCCAGAAGAAGATTTACCGATCTTTATAACCTCGTTTCTTCAACCCTATATATGCTGCATACTTATAAGGTAATGAACCTTACTAATACGGAGTATTTGTTTTCCTGAATCTCTAACCCTGTAATTTTGACTGTTTGTTTGTGAAAAATAATTGTAGGTTTTGTACTACTGGCCTTCCAAGTGATATTGTTGTTGAAGTTGGGGAGATGTCCTTCCATCTCCACAAGGTAATCATTCTTTTTACCAAATATATGTTCACTTATAGTTCACTCTGTTATTCACTTGATTACATTTAACTATTGATACTTTACCTCAACTGTTGGAATATAATATTTTGTTTTGTTTTTTGCTTTTCCCTTCTTTTTATTTGTGTGTAATTGCATAAATCAGACAAAAATACTAATAAATCATAAATTTTTTGACATGGTTGTTGAAGGTAAACCTTGTTGCATTTCCTGTTAACTACCACTGCATTGTTTCTTGGTGTCTTGTGTGGAAGATGGGTGAGAGGTAGTAATCACATGATTTGTAGCACTATTATAAAGCATGTTGTAGTTATTCTGTTTTTTCAATATGATTGCTCTCATTCATACTCTACAATCTTATATTCTAAAAGCTTGTAGTTATTGGGAAGGAGAGTTGTCAGGACCATTTAGCAGTACTCCAAATTTAATATTAAGAATACTCTAATGTAAGACTTTGACCAGTTATCTTGCAATTCAGCTGATAGCACTGCTGTCAGCCTGACTGTCAAACCAGTTACAGATCTACCATTCAGGATCCAAACCCTAGCAATGAGACCTGGATATGAAATGATTGAGCTCTAATTTAGTCAGATCGGATCTGATGTTGAATCAAATAAGTTATTTGAACACCGATTTACCTTTTTTCTATTCTTTCTATGGAGACTTGTATCAACTATGCTACCACTTACATGCATGTATATTTTGTAGGTATACAAATAAGAAGCAGAAAAACCACCATATTGATCAAACTGTTACCCATAGTAATCAAAATTTTTCGCTTCACACATTCTACCTATTGTTTCGTACCCGTTATGTTTTGGACTGTTTTGCAGTATTTGGCTGATTGTTCCATTAGAGATTTTCTAGGTGCATTGGCCCATTTTGTTAGAAATATGCTTGATTTTTATTTTCTATTTTGGGTACTTTTGAGATATCTAAATGTAATTTTCATAATAAAAAAGTTATCTTCCTAATATCTAACAAAATGGAGGGTCTCTCACTGCTTCGCGTAGCTGAAGTTACTATCAATATTGAACTCTCAGCTTTATGAACTTTTATTAGATGTGACCGTGTTCATCTCTTATGAGATTCCATCCACTGTAATTCTTTTTTTCACCCCCTCCCCATCACTATATTAGTGGCTTCATTTGGTCTCCTGTTTGTTACTTGTTAACTCTTATACAGTATACGAGTATAAAAAATTATTAGATTCGCATGATATATTGTTTAAATTTGAATTGAAATTCCACAAGAAGTTTATTAATTTTAGTGCAAATTTTGGAAACACAATGATAAGTAAAAATCATGAAGTTGGTTATTCAAACAAAAACGTGTTTTCATCATTTGGTGTAACCACTAAGAAAATAGTTTAAATTAAAGCATTGGTGAATTACTTATATATAAAAAAATAAAAAATAAATAAATAAAGCATCAAGTAAATTGTTGTTATCATATATTTATTATTCAAAATAAGCACACACATGTGCATATATTCACAAAAATGCTGTAAAAAGAAATGTTCGTACACAGAGAGAGTTGAGATTGAGGGTTGCTCTCATATTTATTGCCAAGAAACTCTATATTGTTATGATTTTTGACACAATGCAGGCCCCCATCATTCCCTTACTAATACTTGGTATGCTAGCTTAATCCTAAGCATCCAGTCAATGACACTTTTCTTTTCATTATTATCCTATGCAGTTCCCTTTGCTTTCTAGAAGCGGTGTTATGGAAAGATTGATTGCAGATGCATCTAAAGGAGAAGAGGGCTGTGTCATCTATCTCCCTGACATCCCAGGTGGGGCTAAAACGTTTGAACTTGTAGCCAAATTCTGCTACGGGGTGAAACTGGAACTTACTGCCACAAATGTCGCGTGTCTACGTTGTGCTGCTGAGCATCTTGAGATGACTGAAGAGTATGGAGAGGGCAATCTAATTTCACAGACCGAAGTCTTTCTCAATCAAATAGTCCTTCGAAATTGGAAAGACTCTTTGAAAGCGCTTCAAACCTGTGATGATATTCTCCCCCATGCTGAAGAACTCCATATTACAAAGAGGTGCATCGAGTCCTTAGCTGTGAAAGCAAGTACTGACCCGAATCTGTTCGGGTGGCCAGTCGTGGAGCATGGAGGGCCGTTGCAGAGCCCTGGTGGGAGTGTCTTATGGAATGGCATAAGCACAGGGGCTAGGCCAAAAAATTCAAGTTCAGATTGGTGGTATGAAGATGCATCGGCTCTAAGTTTGCCTCTTTACAAGCGGTTAATTTTGGCAATGGAATCTCGTGGTATTAATCAGGAGATTGTTGCCGGGTCTCTCACTTTCTATGCAAAAAAGTACCTGCCAGGACTGAATCGGCGTCAGGGTGCCAGTGAGTCTAGCAACCGTCTGGTGCCGGTGGGTTTGGGTGCCCCACCATCCGAAGAAGATCAGAAGCTTTTACTTGAAGAGATGGATAGGTTACTTCCACTGCAGAAGGGCCTAGTCTCAACGAAGTTCCTCTTTGGCCTACTTCGAACAGCCATGATTCTTCGAGCAAGCCCCTCTTACATATCAAACTTAGAGAAGAGGATAGGGATGCAACTTGATCAGGCAACTCTTGAAGATCTCTTGATGCCCAACTTCTCTTATTCCATGGAGACTCTTTACAATGTTGAGTGTGTGCATCGTATACTCGAGCACTTTTTGGCCATGGATCAGGCGACTGGTGGGGCATCTCCATGTTCAGTTGATGATGGTCAATTGATGGGATCACCTTCTTTGACTCCAATCACGATGGTAGCCAAGCTGATTGATGGGTACCTAGCAGAGGTTGCCCCTGATATTAATTTGAAGCTCCCCAAATTTCAATCTCTTGCCGCTGCTGTACCTGATTATGGCAGGCCCTTGGATGATGGTCTTTATCGTGCAATTGACATTTATCTGAAGGTAAAATAAATTAACTGCTGTATGGAAACTGGAAAGGCTGGGCATGGGTAGCTTATAAGATTAGGTTATTATTCGTGTTGCATTTTTGCTCCAGCAATGAAATTTTAAGTTTTTGAAGGTTCTAGCATTTAAGCTTTAGAACCAAACACCTGAACCTATAAACAAGTTTACGCGGTGATTCAGGGATATTTGATTTATTAATCATGATATTTTATGAATTTAACTGATATTCTAACTGCAACCGGCTCAAACCTCACTTTTATTCTTTGTGTGAACCCGAAACCACTCAGAGACAATGGAAAGGTTTAAAAGCAGTTTCACCAAGAATTAGGTTGGGCTGGTTGTGTTCAAGTTTAGGAAAATTGTTGTCATGTTACTTACCCTGTAATCTTTCCTGCATGGAAAATTGCAACTCCTTATATTCTGCTTCTTGAAGCAAATGAATTTCACTAAAAAATCATATTATGGGCTTTTAGTAAGTGAGAAAACAATTAAAAAAAAAAAAACCATTATATTGAGCACATTTTCTTATCTTACCTTGAGCTTATTGACTTTCCTATTGTTTTCCAATTTGCAGTCGCACCCATGGTTGGCAGAATCAGATAGAGAAGAACTCTGCAGATTGATGGACTGCCAGAAGCTCTCCTTGGAAGCTTGCACCCATGCCGCGCAGAACGAGAGGCTGCCCCTAAGAGTAATAGTCCAAGTTCTCTTCTTTGAGCAGCTTCAGCTTAGGACCTCCATCGCTGGCTGCTTCCTGGTCTCAGACAATCTTGACGGTTCAAGACAGTTAAGAAGTGGCTTGGCCACATCTAACGAGGGAGGCTGGACCACAGCCGTGAGGGAGAATCAGGTTTTGAAGGTGGGGATGGATAATATGAGGATGCGGGTTTCTGAACTCGAGAAAGAGTGCTCAAACATGAGGCAGGAGATTGAGAAGCTGGGTCGAGTAAAAGGCTCTAGCAAATGGAATGTGTCGAAGAAGTTTGGGTTTAACATGAAGTCTCAGATGTGCAGTGCTCAAGAGGGGTCTGTTAGCAACCAGAATGACAGTAGTGGAAAGGTTGAGAAGACAAAAGACAAGCATGGGAAACACAAGAAAAATTTGTCTCCTGATGGGTAAGAACTTTTTTAGTTTGGTTTTTATTTTAGCCGTTTTTCCAAGTTCTCATTGTTTGTATCTCCACTTCTCCTTCCTTATTCTTCAAAAAAAAAAAATTCGATCTCCATGTTTCTGTGCCATATTTGTTATTATGTATTTTCTTCTTCTTCATCCCAACCTTGTAATGCAGACGAACTATGTAGGCATCGTGTAATTTGTTCGTAACAGTACTGAAGGACTGATTCTCTCTCCCTCTCATTTGCTGCTTCTCCCAGAATTACAGTAAGGGCATGTTTGTTTAGAGGCTTTGTTTAGGACATTGGAGTAATTTTCTGAGCTTCACTTGGAACTACCAGAAACGTTTTATTGGCAAATTTTGCATGAGCTCCAAAATATGTGTTGTGAAAGCAAGTGCAACAAACACCGTCTTGAGTCGAAATTAGTATTCACCATGTAAATTTTTGCATGTATGTGAAAAGTCGTCGTCGTATAGGTAGAAGGTATGAAAAATACATGTTACAATGTAGCATCTGTGGGAGGGAGACTACAAATGTTAGTGCTCTGAATCTGGTATTCATGTAACATTGATTTGGTGCTCTTTTATGGATTCGATTGCTATTCAAAAACAGTATTAACATAAATAAGGATTAAGCTTTTTACGTACCTGTACCTGTACCTGCTATATGGTAAGGGTGTGGTTGTAAAAAACAATTTATATGATAATTATTAGCCACTTGTTATGGTACCACCTTCTTCGTATGTTATAAAGCAATTTAACTTAAATTTTTCCTTTTCCACTTACAGAAAGGGCAAAAAGAAGAAATACTAAATACTAAAATAAATAATAAATAAAAAACCGAAAAAAGAAAAGAAAAAGAAATAACCTCTTTTCTCTTCGAGTCTCTTTCTTTATAAATGTAAGTGGAAAAAAAAAAAAGAGTCATTTTTCGCATCCAATGCACCTTAATCCATCTGCTTAAAAAATTGGCCTGCCTGAATGATTATGATTATTATTATTATTATTATTATTATTATTATTATTATTATTATTTTGTTTCTTTTCTTGTTCTGTACAAAAACCGAGAGGCTTTCTTGGCAACCTATATCTCAATTCCATATATATATATATTTATTTATTTATTTATTTATTTGCAGCCACTGTTCATGGATTGTCTATCCTAAATAACTCAATTACTAGTATAGTTCTGCTTCCATAATTCCACTCGATTATCTATTTATTTGTTTGTTTTTTTTGGGGTTGGTGAATTCCTGTCTCAAATTAGAATAAAGGGGGCTTATATTCGCATTTCCCTACCCTACTAAGCCGCTCCATTTTCTTATTTTATAAAATAAAATTATAAAAAAATCTTTAAACCGCAACGAAAAAAAAAAAAAAAGGTTAATGTCCTATTTGCCCTTCTCTCGGGCCAGGATTCCTTTCATATTCTCTTACGTTTTCTCTCCCCCTCTACCAGCAATATAACATTCATATTTACCCCCTAAAAAACAAAAAAAATTAAATAAAAAAATAACATAACATTCATGCAATGATACAATTCATCTCATATATATATATATATGGAGATATTTAATCACCTATTGTGTCAACATACATTAATTAGGTAGATTTGAAATAGATCTAATTTTCTGCTTGTGTCACAAATTTCTCCTAATATTTCTTACCCAATATTTCTTATACTATATGAGTTTCTGACTTTCCCTTTTCTCATATGACCCATGTAACAAAAATACAAATTTTTAATTTAGAGTGGCGAGAGGCAGTGGTATTCAACTCATTCACAAAAGAAAAGAACACAATACTTATACTAATTTTGGGCAAGTTGAACCAAAAAAAAAAAAAAAGTGTCTAATATTTGTTGGGCGTGATGTGCGTGCTTGAGTATCTCCAAAAAAAAAAAACATACGAATATACACGAATACAAATCATTTAATTGCAATCCGAGTCCGAGAATTGCTTTATTCCACCAAGTTCTCCTCTTCACCGACACCGACATGGATTCTTTTTCTCACTCTACAAGTTGTACAAGGGAAGAACCTGTGGGAGAGAATGTGCAAATAGTAAGGGTAATTATGGGAGTGAAAATTGTAATAATCAAATATTGTGCGAGTTAGGAATGTTTTTGTAATTCCATTTAAAAAGAGGAGTGTGCGCTCCCTCAAAATTCATGTTGAAAAAGCCACTTTTAATGGAAAATCACATTCGTGCTGCCCCGTGGTAATAAAAATAAAAAAATGCCTTATGCTATGGTTGGCAGGAAGGAAAATATAAGGGTGAAAATAAAATAAAAAGAAATGAAGAGATTGTATAAACAAATAAATGATAATAGAAAGAATGAGTCATCCTTCCTCCTTTATAAATTTTCATCCACCAAAATATAGGCGAAAGATAGGAGAGAAACAAGTGAACCTATTATATAAGTTTTAAATTACAACATCACCTTCATAAATATTTAATAAAAAAGAGAGAGACGCTTAATCTCGGTCATTCTTTCTTTTGTCCTTTCCATTAAATTTTTTTCCTTCCTACCAAATAAAGTATTAATGACACTCTTTTTTATAAGGCAAATAATGGCCTATTATTTATTGAAAAAAAACAAAAAAAAACCAATTACTGTCTAGGGTGAGTCCATCAAAATTCAAGACATCGACATAAGATGAGAGAAAAGCGTGGTTAAAAAAATAAGTATGAATACATTTATAATGAGAGTGTTTTTCATTTAGTAAATTCATTGATGCTCTGTTTGATAAGAAGGAAGAAAATTTGATGGAATGTAGAGAAGAAAAGATGAATGAGATATCATAGGGAATGAGTTTGTATCATTTTTTTTTTTGGGTTAATGGAAGAGAAAAAAATACAATAATACCTTATTTTGTTTATTAGGAGGAGAGAAGACAAGAGAGATTGTTAATTATAAGGAAAATTTTATAATTTTAAAACTTTTATAATAAGTTTATCTTTTTTCTTTCGTGTCTTTAGTACATATTTGAGAGATAAAAATTTGTAATAGGATTCATCCATCCTATTTTCTCTTCTCTCCTTCCATTCTTTCTACCGAGTGAAGGAAATTTGATTTTTTTTTTCCTATCTTCCCTTCACCCCTTTTTCTTCCTACCAAACGGAACACAAATGATGACATCATTGAGTATAGATCTAACAAATGAGAGCCCTTTGTTGTAGTATTTTTCAAAAGTCAAATCATTATTAAAGCAAAATGTTTATGAAATATATATATATATATACACATATATTAGGAAAAGGCACGTGCGAAACACGTGGTGAATGTTTTGTAACTTATAAAAAAAAAATTTCATTTTTTTTTTTTTTTTTTCTAATTGTTGATTTAAAGCTTGTAACAATAAACGTTACATTTATTTGTAACTCTTTTTATATTGATTAATAAATATTTATTTTATATTAATAAATAAATACTGAAATATTTTGAAATTGGTGATACAGTTTAGGTTTCATAAATTAATAAATTCTTTTACATTTTTATATTAATACTGAAATATGTATATTTTATTTTTTATTAATTAATAATTTTTTATTTTAATAGTGAAATATTTGAGTTTTGCAAAGTAACTAATTCTTTTAGGTAATTTGAATTTTATTAGATAATTTGAAATTTAGCAGAATTTTTAATTTACTATAGAAATTCAATTATATTAATTTTAAAATAGAAATTCAATTACACTAATCATACATTAGATCAAAATTGATATAAAAATTTATTATATGGAGTTTGTGGTTTTTTTGAAGACCCCAGGTTATATTTTATTTTCTTTAAATAGGTAATTTATGGTAGAGTTTTATATAAATTATTTTAATTTATTTAGATATATCTTTGTAAAATTAGATTTTCTTTTATTAAAAAACTCATAATAAATAGATAAATACAATGTTACATACTTATATGTGATAGAGTTCTTTTTTTATATTAATTAATAAATATTTTTTATATTAAAAAATAAATACTAAAATGTTCAAATTCTTTAACATTTATATTTTATTTATATGTATTATTATATTATTATATATTTTCTTTAAATATATCCTTCAATGTGTTAGAGTTATAGAAATTGTTCTATTTTCTTTAAATATATCCTTATTTAATTGGATTTTCTTTTATTAGAAAACTCATAATAAATAGATAAATACAGGTTATATGTGATAGAGTTTTAAAGAAAATAAAATAGTTAATTTGTGCTAAAGTTTTGGTAATTTGTGTTAGAGTTTTATAAAAACTCTTTAAATATATCCTTCTCTAATGTGATAGAGTTTCATTGCAAATAAAATAGGTAATTTGTGGTAGAATTTTATATAAATTATTTATTTTATTTAAATATATATATATCCTTTTTCTAATTAGATTTTTTATTTATTAAAAAACTCATAATAAAAGATAATTTGTGGTAGAGTTTAAGAAAAATTATTTTATTTTTTATATTAATTATTAAATATTTTTATATTAATAATTCTGGTTTAGTTATATTACATTTTATTATAAAAAAAACTCATAATAAATACATAAATAGGTAATTTATATTAGAGTTTTATATAAACTCTTTTAAAAAAAAAAATTATTTTCTTTAAATATATCGTTCTCTAATCAGATTTCCTTCATTAAAAAACTCATAATAAATAAATAAAAACAAGTTATATGTGAATTTTAAAGAAAATAAAATAGATAATTTGTGATAGAGTTTTATACAAATTATTTTATTTTCTGTAAATCTATTTATAATAAATAGGTAATTTGTGTTACAGTTTAATAGAAACTCCTTAAAAAACACTTTTTATATTAATTAATAAATAATTTTTTATATTTATAATTATTCTCTAATTAGATTTCATTTTATTAAAAAACTCATAATAAATAGGTAATTTGTGTTAGAGTTTTTTAAAAACTCTTTTCAAACTTCTTTTTATACTAATTAATAAATAATATTTTATCTTAATAATGCTTGTCTAATTAGATTTATTTTTATTAAAAAACTCATAATAAATAGATAAATAGGTAATTTGTGTTATAATTTTATAGAAACTCCTTTAAAACCTCTTTTTAGATCAATTCATAAATAATTTTTTTTGTTAATAATACTTGTCTAATTATATTTCCTTTTATAAAAAAACTATTAATAAATATATAAAAAGGAAATTTGTTTAAAAATTTTATAGAAACTCTTTAAATATTATATCTTTGTCTACTGTGATAGAGTTTTATAAAAATTATTTTATTTTCTTTAAATATATCTTAGTCTAATTAGATTTAATTTTATTAAGAAACTCTTAATAAAAGTTAATTTGTGGTAGAGTTTTAGAAAAATTATTTTATTTTACATATCAATTAATAAATATTTTTTATATTAATAATTCTTGTCTAATTAGATTTTTTTTATTAAAAAATTCATAATAATAAATAGATAAATAGGTTAACTTAAATTTTATTAAATAGATTTTAGAGTTTGCTAGACTTTTTAAATAAAAACTCTTTACATACCAATTAATAAATATATATTTTTTTATATATAAATAAATAATTAAATACTGAAACTCTTTGCATATGTAATAATTCTATAAATTAAAACTTTTTTTATATCAATTAATAAATATTTTTTTATATAAATAAATAAATACTGAAACACCTTCGCAGAACTTCTGTATTTTATTCTGAAAATTAGATTTTCTTTTATTAAAAAATTAATAATAATAAATAGGTTAATTTGAATTTTATTAGGTATATTTTAGAGTTTTATAGAGTTTTTTTTTCTATATAAAAACTCTTTTCATATCAATTAATAAATATTTTTTATATAAATAAATAAATACTAAAATTCTGAAACTCTTTCCGTATTTAATAAATATTTTTTAAATAAATAAATAAATACTGAAACTTTAGATTTACTTTTATTATATAATTTATAATAATAAATAGATAAAAAGGTTAATTTGAATTTTATTAGATAGATTTTAGAGTTTTATAGATTTTTTTTTTCTTATTATTATTTTTTTATATATAAAAACTTGTTTCATATCAATTAATAAATAATTTTATATAAATAAATAAATACTGAAATACTAAATCTCTTTGCATATTTAATATTTTATTTTATTTAAATATATTCTTATCTAATTAAATTTAATTTATTAAGAAACTCATATTAAAAGTTAATTTGTAGTAGAGTTTTAGAAAAATTATTTTATTTTATATATCAATTAATAAATATTTTTATTATTAGTAATTCTTGTCTAATTCAATTTTCATTTATTAAAAAATTCATAATAATAAATAGATAAATAGGTTAATTTAAATTTTATTAGATAGATTTTGGAGTTTGATAGAGTTTTTTTTTTCTTATTTATTATTATAAAATCCTTTTTCTTGTTAATTAGTAAATATATTTTTATATAAATAGATACTTAAATACTGAAACTCTTTGCGCATTTAATAGTAGTATGGATAAAAACTTTTTTTATATCAATTAATAAATATTTTTTTATATAAATAAATAAATACAGAAAAACTTTGGTAGAACCTCGGTATTTTACTCTGAAATTTTTATTTTTTTTTTTTTTAAATTGTAATATGTATTACGTGTTAGGGTGTTATAGAAAATATTTTTAAACTCTTTTTATATGAATTAATAAATATTTTTATATTTTAATAATTCTTATCTAATTAGATTAGCTTTTATTAAAAAAAACTGATAATAAAAGGTAATTTGTGGTAGAGTTTTAGAAAATTTATTTTATTTTTTATATCAATTATAAATATTTTTTGTATTAATAATTCTTGTCCAATTAGATTTTATTTTATTAAAAAACTTATAATAAATAAATAGGTAATTTATATTAGAGTTTAATATAAACTCTTTTAAAAACTCTTTTTATATCAATTAATAAATATTTTTTATTTTAATAATTCTTCTCTAATTAGATTTAGTTTTATTAAAAAAACTCGAAATAAATAGATAAATAAGTAATTTGTGCTAGAGTTTTTTAAAAAATCTTTTTGTATCAGTTAATTTTTTATATTAATAATACTTGTCTAATTAGGTTTCCTTTTATTAAAAAACTTAAAATAAATAGATAAATAGGTAATTTGTGTTATAGTTTTATAGAAACTTTGTTGATCGAGTTTTTTTGAAATTAAAATAGGAAATTTGTAATTGAGTTTTTTATATAAATTATTATTATTTTTTTGAAATATATACTTGTCTAATTAGATTTAATTTTATTAAGAAACTCGTAGTAGAGTTTTTTTAAAATTATTTTATTTTATATATCAATTAATTAATTTTTTTTATTAATAATTCTTGTCTCATTAGATTTTCTTTTTATTAAAAAATTGATAATAATAAATAAATAAATAGGTTAATTTAATTTTTATTATGTGGATTTTAGTGTTTTATCATATCATTTAATAAATATTTTTTTATATAAATAAATAAGTACTGAAACTCTTTACACATCTAATAATAGTATAGATAAAAACTCTTTTTATATCAATTAAAAAATATTTTTTTATATAAATAAATAAATACTGAACTCTTTGACAGAGCTTTTGTATTTTACTCTAGAATTCAACTCTTTTTATATCAATTAATAAATATTTTTTTTATATAAATAAATAAATACTGAAACTCTTTCGCAGAGTTTCTGTATTTTACTCTGAAATTGTAGATTTTTAAAATTCTCAATTTCTGTACTCTTTTATCATTCCTCTATGCCTCTATTTATAAGTTTATTGGATGAATAGGATGATGATATGTGTCATTTTCTGATGATGACATAATCATAATTGGGCCGGACCGGTTATATAGTGATAATTATCCATAACAAATAACTAAAAATAAGAGTTTTATATAGAATGTGATTGATTTTATTAGGTGATTTTTAGAATTTTATATAAACTATAATTATTCATAAAAAATAACTAAAAATAAGAGTTTTATAAAAAATAACTAAAAATAAGAGTTTTATATAAAATGTGATTGATTTATTAGGTAAATTAGATTTTCTTTTATTAAAAAACTTATAATAAATAAATAAATAGGTAATTTGTGTTAGAGTTTAATATAAACTCTTTGAAAAACTTTTTTTATATCAATTAATAAATATTTTTTATTTTAATAATTCTTGTCTAATTAGATTTACTTTTATTAAAAAACTCAGAATAAATAGATAAATGAGTAATTTGTGTTAGAGTTTTTTAAAAACTCTTTTAAAACTTCTTTTTGTATAAGTTAATAAATAATTTTTTATATTAATAATACTTGTCTAATTAGGTTTCCTTTTTATTAAAAAACTCATAATAAATTGATAAATAAGTAATTTGTGTTAGAGTTTTATAGAAACTCTTTAAATATATATTTGTTAATAAAGTTTTATTGATAATAAAATAGGTAATTTGTAATAGAGTTTTATATAAATGATTTTATTTTCTTTAAACATATATTTGTCTAATTAGATTTAATTTTATTAAGATACTCATAATAAAAGCTAATTTGTAGTAGAATTTTATAAAAATTATTTTATTTTATATATCAATTAATAAATATTTTTTATATTAATAAATCTTGTCTAATTAGATTTTCTTTTATTAAAAAATGGATAATAATAAATATATAAATACGTTAATTTAAATTTTATTTTGTATATTTTAGTGTGTATTTTTTATTTATTTATTTTTTTATTTTTTATTTGTAAAAACTCTTTTCATATCATTTAATAAATATTTTTTTTATATAAGTATAGATAGAAACTCTTTGACAGAGTTTCTGTATTTTACTCTGAAATTCAACTCTTTTTATATCAATTAATAAATATTTTTTTTTATATAAATAAATAAATACTGAAACTCTTTGGCATAGTTTCCGTATTTTATTCTGAAATTCTGGATTCTTAGAATTCTCAATTTCTGTACCTCTTTCTCCTTCATCCATGCCTCCATTTATAGGCTTGTTGGATGAATAAGATGATGACACGTGTCCTTTTCTAATAATGACATAATCATAAATGGGTCGGGGTGGTTATATTGTGATAATTATTCATAAAAATAACTAAAAATAAGAGTTTTATATAGGATGTGATTGATTTTATTAGATAATTTTTAGAGTTTTATATAAACTATAATTATCCATAAAAAAATAACTAAAAATAAGAGTTGTATATAGAATGTGATTGATTATATTAGGTAATTTTTAGAGGTTTATAGAAACTATTTTTACAAAAATTATTTTTATATCAATTAATAAATATTTTTTTATATAAATAAATAAATACTGAAATACTGAAACAGAGTTGTGTATAGAATGTGATTGATTTTATTAGGTAATTTTTAGAGGTTTATAGAAATTATTTTTACAAAAATTATTTTTATATCAGTTAATAAATATTTTTTTTATATAAATAAATAAATACTGAAATATTGAAACACTTTACATATTTAATAATAGTATAGATATAAATATAGATATATACAAATATATTTCTGGAAATATTTATATTTAGAGTAGTCAGGTTTGTATATCATGAATCATTTAAAAATTGATATATTTTCTCTGGCCTGTATGGTGGGCACTCAGTAGCATCATCTAATCTTCCAGAGCTTGCCTATTTGGTATATTCATCAAATAGGTGATTAAAACTCATACTATCGCATTATACTATCAACTCATTCACGTAGAAAAAATTCAATTAAAGTACATCCAGTGAAAGATAAATAAAACCTCACATTATCTATAAATCAAGTGTATTTGTAACTACTCTCTTCAGTACATAGTATGATATTGTTCGTTTCTGATTTGAACCCGCACAATTTTGTTTTTGTGTTTTATCCCAAAAGATGTTATATCAATTGAAGTGACACACTTATATATATATATATAGCACTTCTTCTTTTCACATCGAGACGATGTATGATCGTGCACCTTTAGGACAAGGGTGAATTCAGAAATTGTCAATAGGTGAGCTAATATTTATTTGGGTGGGCTAATACTCATAATTTTTTTTTTTTTTTTTTGGCTGAGCTAAAATTGCCTATAATAAATATATATATTTTGGTGGTCTCAAGCCCACCCTCAAATCTGCTCTCACCCAATTCTTAGCCTACTAATACTTTATTGCACCTGCTTATAAGGTCGCCACGATCACCCCATTGAGACCTAAAGTCATTGTTAGTCACACTCCCGGATGGGTCACCATTTTTTTTTTCTTTCTTTCTATGTAAAAATATTTAAAATTGCTATTTCTACCAATTTTTTTCTTTACTTATAAACAGCTCCAATTTTGAGCATTGTTAAAAGTTTTAATAAGTTAAAATCTTCGTTATTTATTTTATTCTATAATATTTAGAAGTCAAACTAAGTCATCAAACCCGTTTTTAATGCAACTGTGTAAAAATACACATGTCACACTCTAAATTTCAAACCCGTTTAATGGACAAAATTGCTATATTATCGGTTATCAGATGTCCAATAAATTCCATTTTTCGGTGAAAATGAAAATTAGAGCACTAAAACTACCATTATACAGGACTCTTTTTCTTTTTTTCTTCTCACTCTATTCAAAGACGTCTCTCTCCCCTCTCCTCTCTCTCTCTCTTTCTCAAAGGCCGTTTCTCGGGCGTCTCTGTCGATCTCTGTTTGTATTGTATACTCCATAATTATCTATACTAATTGTTCCAGTTAGGTTTTGGCAGCTCAGAGACAGATCTTTCTCTCTCCAATATTCGGATTGAATTGGATCTTGATATACACACAATACATACATACACACACATATATATATCTGTATAGATTCATATATGATGGACAATGGTGAGATTGAGAGCTCCGATGACAATGAAGTTGAGACGTCGCAGACACGAGGTCGTAAGTACAGGCCAGTGGTTGCTCACGACAAAGATCACGCAATCCTCGAGATGTCCTCTCTCGATCCTGGATCTTCCTCTGAACCACTTCCAAATCGGGACACTTCTTTGAAGTAAGCTCTCTCTCTCTCTAGATTTAGGATATAAATCACTGTGATTTAGTTTACTCAATAATTGAATGCTTTTATTTTGGTTGGTTGACATTCTTTATTTAAACAAGCACAAGTTAATTCTCTCCACAATTATATATATGCACACATGTATGAATAAGAATATACTAATTGAGAGCTTTTTGAACAATTTTGAAGTTACCCTTTTCATCCTCACACTGATGGGCAAAACTGAGGTGGTTAAATTAAGATTTCCGAGGATGTGTTTGTTGTTGCAAATTGTGGAGTTTGCAGGCAATAACTTGGTCAATCGGTTGAATGGTAAATGTCAATTTAAGATTGTCAGTGGGTTTTCCCCTTGATAGCTAGCCCATTGGTCAACCAGTTGAATGGTATGCGCCTGATTTGTCTTGGACGTATGATAACAAACCAACAAACACCTAATTGACCAGGCTCTGTTGTCAACATATTGTTTAGAGTTGGAGATTTTTACCATTTAGATCAACGAATAATCAAGTCAATCAACTAATAGCAGTAAAAGAAAGTGAAAGGCAAAGCAACAGGGGAAGAAACAAGAAGATTGAACAAACTTGGAATAAAATTGCCACTCAAAACTGATTACTACAGCTATCCAAACCTATTTGTAATACTGCCTTGAAAAGATAAGTGCAATTATAACAATTAAAAGAATTTGCTATTGGCCAGCAAAATGGTTTATTTAAACAAAAGACTTAAAGAAGAAAATTATATTTTAGTCACAGTCCATGGTGCATGATAGACCCTCAGGGTATCTTGTTTGTTTTTGAACAGATTTTGGGAACATCGGATTCTTCTGATATGCCAAAGACTGTCATGCTGTCTCTGTTACTGCATCACTTACAAAATAGAAAATAGAATTATAATGTGCTGTCTAGGGATCCTTAACTATGCGCATATGCCTCTTATAGGTAATTTGGCACAATATCTGTATCCATGCATTTACTTCTGAAACTTATTTATTTATTTCCGAAAGGCAAGAAATATCATTTCAGAAAGATCAGTGGGTTACACCAGCAATAACACTCTCTCCAATACAAATTGGAAACTCAAAAGTAAAACGTCTCTCCGCTTGACTCCTCAATGCCCAACTAGCTAAATGGTGAGCAACAACATTAGATTCATGGGATATAGAGCAAACTGAGAAACCACCATACACATCAATCCAACTTGTAATATCCTCAATAACTGTAGCAATAGATATTGGCACAACAAACTGCTTGTTCACCGCCTTAACCACCACCTCTGCATCAGCTTCAACTACAACCTTTCCCCAGCCACAATCCATAACATAGCAGACAACCTTATGAAGGACTAAAAGCTTCTGCCAGAGTAGGATCACCGACTGGGAAAAAGAAAAAAAGCAGCCACCTTCAACACTGTTCCATTTCATCTCTAATCACCATGGCACCTCCAGCCTCTCGTGAATAAGCACAGTTCGCTACATCCACATTAACCTTAACATATCCCCTTGGAGGAGCAGTCCACTTAGCACAAAGATTGGGGTCATATGCTCTAGACAATAATTGACGAACATAACAATTAGACCCCAAAGAGACTGTAACATATCCCAGAACTCAGCTTCAGCTGAAGATACGATCTCTAGATCACTCCACCACTTACCTTGAAAAATCCAATCATTCCTTGCTTTCCAAACCTGCCAACAGATACAAGCTGCCACTCCCTTCAATACCCAGCTATCAACACACTTATTCCACAACTCAACCTGGGTTATCCACCATGAGTCCCACTGGCTATGGGAAACATATACATTTGCCAACCTTAAAGATGCAAGCATTTATGTCTCTACTACTTCGATCCAACATATGCGCAAGAGACTTCGGCTCCACCCCACAAACTGGGCATAACATACATTGAACAAATTTTCTCTTCCTAAGACCTTCCATAACTGCGACTTTGTCATGCAAATATCTTCACAAAAGTTGCTTCCACAAATCAGTCCACTGGGATTCTCTATCTCTAATAGTACTACATTCAGCCCTCTCAACTGACACAGCCATTTGTTCATTTTGCTTAAGCTTGAGAGTCACTTGATTTGCAGATTTGACATTAAAACTACCATCCTTGGAAAATAGTCAGCATTGTCAATCTGCTCTATTAGAAATCCTGATGGGAATTTGAAGAATTCTACTCCAATCCTTCCCCACAAAATGATTTTTAACAAGCCCTTCATCACACTTCCTGAGTTGAGGATCAATTAAATCAACAACTCTGAAAATAGGAGATTGAGAAGGAATAGGAGTAACAAGCCTTGGAAGGGTTTGATCTGGAATCCACCTGTCCTCCCAACAGTGCACCCTAGTCACATTCCCAACTTTCCAAAAGATTCTGTTCTCTACAAGATATCTAGCTGCCAAAAAACTCTGCCAAGCCTAAGATGGACTACTACCAATCTTGGCTTTCAAAAAAGATGAGTGAGGAAAGTACTTGGCCTTAAAAAGCTTGTAAAGCAGCCCCTTTTTCTCTACTTGCAACCTCCAACCTTGCTTAGCTAAAAGAGCCAAGTTAAAACATTCCATATCTCTAAACCCAGGCCTCCGTTAACTTTGTTTCGAGTTAGAAGCTTCCAAGTTCCACCCAATCCAATGAACTTTACTATGATCTGCATTCCCATCCCACCAGTACTCTGAAAATCAACCTATCCATGTTGTCGCACACCACTTTAGACAATTTAAAGCAAGCCATAGAATAATCGGGAATAGCCTGCAAAACACTCTTAATCAAAACTTTCTTTCCTCCTGAAGACCATTGATTCCTCTTCCACCCCTGAACTCTGCTCTGAACTTTCTCCTCAAATGTAACCAAACACTTTTTATTTTTTTATTTTTACCAATAACAGATGGTAAACCCAAGTATTTCCCAGTCATACCTTCAGAATTTATTCCCATCAGGGTAACCAACTCATTCCTTACTTCCAGTGGAGAGTTATTACTGAAAAACAAGGCTGACTTTTCCAGATTAATAGCTCGACCTGATGCATTTTCATATTCTTTAAAAATATTAATGAGCGTTTGAACTTCATCAGTATTTGCCTTACAAAAAAGCAAACTATCGTCAGCAAAAAATAGGTGGTACACCTTAGGAGCTCGCCTGCAGATCTGCACTCCAGAGATAAGGCCAGATGCCAAAGCTGAAGACAAAACATGAGGCAACCCTTCTGCATGTAGAAGAAACAGGTAAGGGGATAATGGATCCCCTTGCCTTGAGCCACGAGAGGGGGTTATAAAACCATGAGGGAAACCATTTAACAAAATAGAATATCTGACAGTAGAGATACACAATAGAATATCTGACAGTTGATCAACCTGCCCCATTGCTCACAAAAACCCATTTTATTCATCACAGCCCCTAAATAATCCCACTTCACCCTACTCATAAGCTTTGTTATGTCAAGCTTAAAAGTCATGAATGAATCTTCACCATTTCTATTATTTTTCAAAAAATGAATCAGCTCATGAGCAATTAATATATTATCAAAAATCAATCTGCCCGGTACAAAAGCTCCCTGTCCAATCTTCACCACTTTGTCTAATAACGGTTTTAACTTTTTTGCTAAAGCTTTAGAAAAAAATCTTATACACAACGTTGCACAAAGCTATGGGTCTGTAATGAACCACTTTAGTTGGGTGGTTAACCTTATTAGGTATAAGGACTAAATTAGTGGGATTTAGGCTTTTTCAGAATGTTACCAGCCCTAAGAAAATCAATAAAAGCACAATTAATATCTTGCTTTACCACTTCCCAGTACCTTTGAAAAAATAAGGGAGTAAAACCATCCGGCCTATGGAGCCTTCAGAGGGTCCATCTTTGGAAGAGCAGATTTCAACTCCTCGGTACCAGCTGCCACCAAAGCTCTGTTATCTTCTTCACTGATAAGAGTAGGAACGGAATTGATAACCTGGCCAAAATTTGTACCATTATTTGAACAATACAACTGCTGAAAACAGTCTTCCACAGTGCTGATGTCTGAGCCTCATCCTCGGACCAAGTCACCAATTGCCATCTATATCTTCAATTCCCAAAATGGCATTCTTCCTTCTCCTTTGCTGAGTTTTAGCATGAAAATATCTAGTGTTTTTATCCCCTTCTTTCAGCCAACTCACTCTCACCTTTTGCTCCCAAAACAGCTCCTCATTCTTCCATAAGCTGTCTAATCGTTGTTCCACTGCTTTAACTTTCCCAGCATCGAACATATCCTCTTCCTTAGTTTCCTTCAATTCCAGCTCTGCCTCTTCAATCAACCTTTTGGAATTTATGATTTTAGACTGGTTCCATCGCTTTAAAGCTTTCCTGCAATTTGTAATATTGCATTTCAGTTTAAACATCATTGTCTTCATCCCTACACTGCCAAGCTTGCACTATAGTTCGACCACATTCTGGATCACCAGGCCATCGGGCATCAAACACAAAATTCTCCTACATGTCCTGCTCGTTCCTTTGGAATCAACCAAGAGAGCCATATGATAGGATCCCATGACTTAAAGATTATTCAGAACAGCTTTTCCATTGGTTCTCACCCACTCTGAATTCCTCAAAGCTCTGTCTAGCCTTTCACGAATTTTTGCCGAACCTGGTATGTTATTATTCCAAGTAAATGGTGAACCCTGAAACCACAGTTCAAGTAGCTGACACTCATCAATGAAGTTATTAAAAGCCCTAAGAACCATTGAGGTAGAACTCTCAGGGCTTTTAAAGTATGTTGTTCTTGGTGATGCGATAGCTTAAATTACACAAACACATGTCTTCCTGTCTCGGGCAACATCTGCTTTCTTTTAAATTTACTAGGTGATTATTGTTGCTGTAATTGTTTTAGCACCCAAACACTCTAAGAAGGATATATGTCCTTATATTTGTGCAAATATTTCCTATAGTGAATGTCATTAAATGCTAATAACTTTAACCACATACATTTGTTTATTTTGTTCATTCAGATTTTTTGTTTTCATGTATATATCTATATTTGATAAGATTGATTTGTTTTCATGTATATATATTGATGTATATGCTGTGGCAGGAAAATTAAAGTGAGCACACAGCTGAACATGGGTTCCGATGCGAGAGAAAGTTCATTGCCTACTGATGGAGGACTCAATGACTCCCAGAGGGAATCCAAATTGGAATTGTTCGGTTTTGATTCCCTTGTTAATATTCTGGGTCTCAAGAGGTAAGACCTACCAGATTTATTTCTATTCCTTATGCTTGCTTCTTCCAAAATTGTAAATATTCTTTTAACCAATCTCTTCATTTACTTATAATTGAAATTGAAGAACACAGTTCAATTTTTATTCTTCAAAATTGATTTTCTTTCTAATTGAACTCATTCTGGGAGGAGGGTGTTTTCTGCAGCTCTTATGAGTTATTCTCTTTCTATTTGAAGAATATACTTCTGCTAAAGGTCATGTCATTTGTTGCTTGTCTGAATTATAACAGTCCCCTTATGAGGCTTGCTATTTTAGTATGACAGGGGAACAGATTCCCACACCTTCTAGTCCTAGAGATGGTGAGGATGTTTCTCTCGCTCTTGAGCGTCCCAAGGTACTTCATTTTTTTTACCTCAAGAATGTCACATTATCTTCCATGCACCTTCCCTCCTTTCCATGGTTGTACTGCTATGCGTGGAAATAATATCAGGGCATTCATGCATTGGTCTGGAGCTAGTACCATTATGTTTTTAACTTTTTCTGTTGCTTTGGTCATCATCTTCTGGTAGGAATTATTCTTCTTATTAGTATAACAAATTATGAATTGATTTAGAAATTAATAATATTAAAAAGTATGTTTAAAAATTTGGGAAAAGAAGAAGAAGAAGAGAGATGACGCAAGCGAAAGGAAAGGAATGCAATACAAATAAAAAGGGGTGTCACTTGCAAAATTGATCCTTTTATTTTTATTTTTTATGAAACATAATATTTGGTAAAATGTATGGAAGTTGGTGATCAAGAAACTGGTTTAAGGTCAAGTCTTTTTGATGAAATATTCTCTATGTTGGTACCTTAGTTTCCTACAAGGAGTGAGTAGAAACGTTTCAAACATGGCAGTCTACCTTAATATGTTTCATCTTCTCATGAAATACTTGATTCTTAACTTTATGAATTTCCCCTTTGTTGGTAAACAAGACGACTGTTTGATAATTCTATGTATTGCTAAAAACTGAATTTTCAGTGGTTCCTCTATAGTTTGATAATGCACCAAGTAGCTACCACTTATAAAATTGAATTCCACTTAAATAGGGTCTAAATTTTGTTACAAGGACTTGACTTTTCACTAAACGCTGAGCACACTCGATTAAGCCTAAACTGACAATTTTACCGTTAAATTCTCACTTCTTCAATTTAACTGCTTAAAGTTTCCCGCATTATTTTTTCAACATTGATTTATTTTTTATTTTTTATTTTTTTGTTGGTGCTAAACTAATAGTATGCTAAAATTAGGGTTCAAAGAAAAGAGAAGATGAAGATATTGTTTGGGGAATTTTCGAGAGATTATCACGTTTCTTCTCTCACTTATATCCAATCTGTCCCTGGAAGAAATATAGATTAAATATATACATTCTAACATAATCTTATCAAATGGTACTTAAAGTTTAGCGGAGTGTCAACAAAAATATTGAAATCCATTTCATTGGCATTTTGATTGTACGGCCGTTTTTTCTCTTTCTTTTTGCCCTTTTAAATGGAATATTGTGGGTTTTGTCATTCTTAATCAGATGCTTATTTCCATAATAGTTGTTATATCCCACTAATTACGGTGCTACATTATTTAACTTGTCATTTTTTTCTAGTTATTAATTGTACGGAAGAGAAATTTGATTTAGGAGATGAAGATAAATTTTAATGGAAGTGGCAGTTCTTTGAACTAGTGATTGTTAGTGGAATATTAATTACTAAAAATGGCTTAGTGGTTTAGTTTAATTCTTTAAAGAAAGCCACAATATTTTTTTTTAGAAGTCTGATTGTTACATAACTTGCTTGGACACATCTTATTTTTGGTAAGACTTAAAATGGAGAGCTGGGAGTGATGCATATCTACATTTAGTATTATCATATGCTTTTAACCTTGTAATATCCTTCTATTTGGATGTACTTTTACTGTTAGCTCAAGTGGTGTCTCTTTACAACAAAAATGAAAGTTGCAATGTTCAAGTCCCAACTGGGACAAGGGTAATGCGGTTCTTATAGAATATGTATGATAATATTTAAAGCATTCTTTCACCTCCACTTTCTGGATGTGGATGTGTTAGACCTGAATATTGAACACTGATTAGAGCTTATATGTGGTATTTAATATTTTCTTAGTGAAATGTATGGCATTTTGATGCTCTTTAATGACTTTGATGTGCATTCATACGCAGGCTACTGATGTGAAACTGGGGACATTAATGGGAGTGTTTGTGCCATGCTTGCAGAGCATTTTGGGAATCATCTACTATATTCGTTTTTCTTGGTAAACTTCATATGCCTGATATTTATATTGCTTTTTTTTGTGAAATTATTATTTTCCTTTTAAATGTTTATGCATGAGAAAATAACCAAATGAACCTGTGATGTTGTGGCGACCCGGTTTTGACCCCAAAAATGGGCTTTGTGCGGGTCGTTGACCCTGTTTAGTATTCTCTTGTAGCTCGGTATATAAGGGCATTTAGTCTTTGGAGTGGGATAACATGAGAACACTGACAATCGCAAGAAAGAGAGCGAGAACGAGGGTTTGGGGAGTTATCTCCTGTTTTTCGCATAGTGAAATCTTTCGCCAGATCTTCACCGTTGAGTAGGCTTACCCCGAACCACAAAAATCTTTGTGTTCTTTGTCTGTGGCATGTTTACGTTTCTGTCGTAGATTCTTGTTTTGTTCTTGGATCACTTTATTTGTCGTAACAGAACCGATGATTACAATGAACCAAATGGGAATCATCAATTACTGTTGTGAACTGATACATTGTAATGTTAAACTCATATGAACTTCCTCGAGGAACTTGCATCAAATGTCCAATGTTGAATAAGAGCAATGCAAAATGTAGATAATGTTGGAAAAGATCAAATTTTCAAATGAACCAAATGATTTTATTGTCTGCTTTTAATCTCAAAAAGACATTGTTGGGTCCAGAAGGCTAGCTTGTTGTGCGGTAACCAGTCTCATTTTGGAAGGAGGAAAGGTCTTGTTATGGTTAAGAAGTCTGGGGGGAAAGAGCTCTAAGGTTTTCGTAAGAGTCTGAAGCTTGGTTGGTTTTATGCTCTTGGTTGTGAATATTGAGCTTTTACATGATAAGTTTGCCACTAGTAAGAGTTGTTTTAGTATCTAACCCAACACTTGCAAAAATCAACTTTTTATGGTAGTTTGTGGCCCATGATAGTAACAACTCGTAAAAGTGAGTTAGGTCTTGCTAACCTATCAGCACCTTTTGGGTATGTTTGACCAATATTGAAAAGCCATCCACCTGTGATGGCAAATCTCTAAAGTACACAGAATATGAACATAGTATGCTACACATTCTTAATGTGGTTTAATAATGTCTGTCTGTGACACAAAACCAAGAAAAAACACATCCACATGACAAGCTTTCTCCAAATCCACTTTGAGCATTGGCCCTTTTCTGCTAGGCTTCCACAACCTTCCACCTTTTTTCTACCACAAAATATGTAATTTAATATTTCTCCTAGCATTAATCCCCAAGACAATAAATGTTAAAAGATATATAGATTTACATGAGAGAGATGTTGGACCTTTGGGAGGTTGGTGGTACTTTTTATTAGTTTATATTTAGTACTATTGGTTTCTAGATAGATTTGATTAATGTTAGAGGATTAGGTAGATGCTTTCAAATATTTTGGTTTTGTATATGTTCTCTCTCTTTGTATTCTATCTAAATAATTATGAATAGAAATTCTGGAGTCTGGAGCATTACTGGATTTGGAGGTTGTTGGAGATTCATATCAATTCTGAAATTGATTATGTTATGTGTTCTATGTGAGATAATTTGGAACTAGGCCAGCTTGTTGTGTGGCAAGGCATGTATTTTGAGTGTTAGACTATGTTTTATGCACATGGATACATGTATCAGGTGTGGGTATGTGACTAAGCGTTGGATATCAAATAACCCAAATTCAGGGACACGGGAGCGCAACTAAATATTCTTTTATTTTAATATTCTTCTTTTATTTTTTTCAGAGTGAAATGATGCTTTCATGTAACAGATCATTCAATATAGGTACTTCACTTAGTCTTGAAGCAACAACATAGTAAAAGGAACATAATACAAGAACTTTTATACAGTTATAAACTGGATTAATCAGATATGCTTGTCGGGTGCATGTCCAACTAGACATGCAGAGAACGTCCTATATCCATACCCAAAGTGACATGTGTCCAGAATGATTTTCACACTTCCAGAAGATTCCATGTAATATAGGTGTTGATGATTCCCACCATTGAGGGACATATGGAAGGAGGATTGCCCTTTGTATTGATCTTTTATCTGTTTTGGTTAGCTTATTGTTATTTTTTGGCCAAAAAGACAGAAAAAGGTATAAAAGATTAAGAATCCTTCCTTTGTGGAGGCAGTATTACCATTTATTAGTTGGATTGTGTTAACTACCATCTACTCTAAAAGCTTAAGTTCTTGGAGATGGTGTAACTTAAATTTATAAATCCTTCGACACTCCCCCTCACGTGTGGCCTTCTTTTGGTCTAACACGTGTCTTTCAAATTTTTTAATGAGGGTGGCGGTGAGGTTTGAACTCGAGACCTTTGCCTTTGATGCCATGTTAACAACCATCTATTCTAAAAGCTTAAGCTTTTAGAGAGGGTGTAACTTAAATATATAAATCCTTCAACATATTGTAAGGGGACACAATATCTTTAAGTAGCAATTCAAGTGTCAGCATCAGAATTTTCAGATTATTTTATTGCAATGAAAGCCATTTCAATCATTGTTGTTGCTAGTTGATTGGAAGTAGTTAGAGTGGGGGCATTGGGAAATTTGAGGATAAGATGGATAGCATTTGGATATGTCAAGTCAGAGTGGGGAGTGTTGAGATATAGTATCATTCAGTACTGAGTATTTGGATGTGAATTTAGGATTAGGTTAAGGAAAAACCACCATTGTGGGGTCTGGGGAGGGTCAGATATACGCAGTCTTACCTCCACATGTGGCGAGGTTGTTTCCTTGTTTCGAACCGTGACCTTCACTTTACAATGGAGCTACCTTACCGCTCGCTCTCTGAATTTTGGAATAGGATAGAATCCACAAATTCTAAATATATTTGTTTTTATTTATGTTACATTTTTGTTAGTCTATCAATCCTCTTAATTCTTTTGTGAAATGCAACACAGAATATCTGTAAATTCAATTCATTTATGCTTTTCATGTAATATGAATTATTTGTAAATATGTAGACTTGACTAGATATTGAGGTCTACTATTTTTTCTTTTTTAAATTCATCCATGCCCTGTTTATTCACCGTGAACAAATATGATTGCCTTTTCTGTTTAATAGATTGGCCATATTTTAAGCAAACTGATTTTCTGAATGTGAAAATTTCAGGATTGTTGGTATGGCTGGTATAGGCGAGTCGCTATTGCTAGTCTCATTCTGTGGCCTGTGTACTTCCTTAACTACAATATCATTGAGTGCTATTGCAACTAATGGCGCAATGAAGGTACTATACTACTAGCATTGCCTTCTCCCCCTCCCCCCCTACATATTTAGGGTGAGTATTCTCAGTCTTGAAATACGAGAAAGAAGGATGGTTCTTACAGCACTAACTGCCAATGCGTTTTGGATGAGAGGATGTCCTTTTGGGCATCTATGTTTTCCTACCTTGCATTCCATGTTAGCACTTTGTTTCTTAGATGCAAGTAAATGAGAAAATGGTAGCTTTTCTTTCCTTGCTGTTGAAATTACTAGGGTAATTAACACAAGTTTCAAGTAACAAAGCAACATGTTTATTATTGAACTCTTTTCCAAAGATAAGACATGACAAAAAGGTATTCTTGAAGCGTCTTTTTGAATGTGATTTTAGTAAAGGAGTGAATGCATTTTAAGGAGAGAGTTGGTTGAAAGCCTAATAACCCAGCACTATTAGTTTCAATTTGCACAGTTTAAATCAGGACACTTCTGTTCCAGAGTGTTCAATTTACCGATTTTGAAAGCTACTTTTGTCTCTTTCCTTAGTTTTATTTATTTATTCTTCAAGAAAAGACACTAAATTAAAAGAAACCTATTAGAAATATGTTTTAGGAGAAGGATCCAAGGGAAGGGTCCATAATGTTCCAAAAAGCTCATCATGTGTTAATCTTGTAGTTCCAGCAGTGTGCATTTGTCTTGAGTAATGTGGGTTACGTATTTAAACTTTATTTTTTATGCCTATTGCTTGTAATATAAACAATTTGTTTTTGATAAGTAAAGTGGTATAGAAAAGCTTTCAAAAGGGGAACGCGTTGCTAGAATACACAGAGGCCAAAGCCAAAGCCAAAGCCAAAAGAGGGATCCTAAGGGCCCACAGAGGCCAAGAAATCAACAATCTCCTCTATAGATGTACAATATCTGCCCATACCCCAACAAAAAAATGAAGCTAATAATACGGAATTTCAAAGTTCCTATGGGATACTCCTCCCCATCAAAAGATATGTTATTTCGCTCCTTCCAAATGCACCACCAAGCACATAAAGGAGCTACCCTCCAAAAAAGACGAGTGTGAGAACCCACCCCACACCCTCTCCACCAGTCAATCAAACCTCTCGCCGTCCGGGGCATAACCCACTTCACTCCAAACAAGCCAAAAGAACAAACTCCAGCAGTCATGAGCCACAGGGCAGTGCAACAAGTGATCCGCTGACTCACCATCCTTTTTACATATGTAACACCAACTAACTGTAATCTGCCTTCTCCTTCTGAGGTTATTAAGTGTCAGAATCTTGCCCTAAGCTGCAGTCCATACAAAAAAAAAAAGCCACTTTGAGAGGAGCCTTCAAACGCCACATTGTTTTCCAAGGGAAATTAGTCCCTGAGAAACCCGAGAGGCAACAGAAAAAGGACCGAACCTCAAATCTCCCCTGAGTAGATGGCACCCAAAAGAGGGAATCTGGGCCACTACCATCCAGTGTCTGTCTATACAACATATCAAGAAAGTCAGAAACATCATCCAATTTCCAATCATGAAAATGTCATCGAAAATGCATATCCCAAGTTATCATTCCGCTATCAAGCCGATATCAGTCAACTATCCAAGCATGTTTGTCCACGGCAATCCTAAAGAACGAACAAGCCAACGGACGCTTCCCACACCAAACGTCCTCCCAAAACCAAGTGTCCTTACCATGTTGAACTTTGAATCTGATGTGTTTCAAAAACTCATCCCAGCCCTTCCGAATGAACTTCCAAACCCAAACACCACCAGGTGATCTAACCACACGGGAGCACCACCCACCTCTCTCCTCCCTAAAATTGTAAGAGATGGCCCTCCATAATCGATGTCGCTCCCCTCCAAATCTCCAAAACCACTTCCCTAGGAGAGCCTTATTAAAAGGGATCACCCTCCTAATACCCAAACCACCCAACTAGATAGGCACTTGCTCCCAACGAACAAGATGGTACTTAAACTCATCCCCCAACCCGCCCCAAAGGAAGTTTCACTGAAGACTTTCAATCTTTTCAGCCACGGTGGCCGGGATATGAAAAAGAGAGAGAAAAGTATGTGGGAAGACTTGCCAATGTGCTCTTCATAAGGGTGACCTTCCCGCCCTTCGAAAGATACCGCTTCTTCCACCTAGCAAGTCTCTTCTCAAACCTCTCTACCACAGGGTCCCAACCTCCATCCTTCTCGACGGTGAACCCAAAGGCAAGCCCAAATAAGAAATGGGGAAAGAGGAGATCCCATACCCAAGCATCGCTTTAAGCTCAGCAATATTATGCACCTCCCCAACAGGGACTAACGAACTCTTCCCTACGTTCACTTTTAGACCCGATACAACCTGGAAGCAAACTAAAACACATCTCAAATATCTCATCTTGGACATATCTGCATCACAAAAGACCAATGCATCATCCGCAAATAACAAATGGGAAACCTCTATCTGATGATCCGAGTCTCTGCCCACCCTGAAGCCCCTAATGAATCCCAATTCCACGTCCCTCCTCATCAATCTGCTAAGGGCCTCCATAACAATAATGAACAAAAAAGGAGAAAGAGGATCCCTTTGTCTCAAACACCAAGAACTGCCAAAGAAGCCAGACCGAGCCCCATTCACCAACACCGAGAATCTCACTGACGAAATGTAGAACGCGATCCACCTCCTCCATTTCACCCCAGAACCCAACCTCTTCATCATATAAAGCAGAAAACTCCAACTAACGTGATCGTAAGCTTTCTCAATATCAAGCTTACAAAGAACTCCCGGAACACCATTACTCAACCTAGAATCCACACACTCATTAGCAATGAGGGTTGAATCTAGGATCTGCCAACCCCCAATTAAAGCATTTTGAGATTCTGAAATAACTCCATCCAAAACATCCCTCAACCTCGAGGCAAGAACTTTAGCTATTAGCTTGTACAAACACCCCACCAAGCTAATAGGTCTAAAGTCCTTCACATCAGTGGCACCACCCTTCTTGGGAATGAGAGCAATAAAAGTAGCATTCAAAAATTTCTAGAACCGCCCAAAAGAATAAAACTCCTGGAATGTCCCCATCACCTCACCCCTGACCACCTCCCAACTCTCCATCAGGAACCTCATAGTGAAACCATCCGGACCTGGGGACTTGTCGCCATTACAACTCTTTAGCACCTTCAAAACTTCCTCTTCGGAGGAAGGAACCTCCAGACCCTCCCTATCCATCTTTGAAATCAAGTCAAAAAGCAAACCACCCAGTCTAGGTCTCCAACTGTATGTCTCAGTGTGCAGTCTCGGATAGTACGAGGCAATCTGCACACCTCCTCCTCCCTACTTAGATCCACACCATCAACACAAATCCACCCAATATGATTACCTCTCTTATGAGCATTAGCCAACCTATGAAAGAATTTTGTATTAAGGTCACCCTCTTGCAGCTATAACGTCCGTGACTTCTGACGCCACGATCTCCTCCAAAGTAGGAATCTCCGCAAACTCTGCCTGACACTTCGCCCTCCGCCTACTTTGAGCCTCGACAATACCACCCAAACCTTCCAACCTATCGATCTCTACAATCTCAACAAGGGCCCTATTCTTCCTCCACTCCCGATTCCCAAACACCTCCTTATTCCACCTTTTAATCTCAGCCTTCAAAACCGAAGCTTTCTGGCCAAAATAAAACTCGAAGTGCCGACCATTGTAGCCTCCTCCCACTGAGAACAGACTTTTCCCTGGAAGTCCTCTGCTTTAAGCTATATGTTCTCAAAACGAAAGGAGTGTGCCGGGAGCTCATCCCTCTACAGTCCAAAACCAACAGAATATGATCTGACGCCGGTCTGGCTAAAGCTGCCTGTACCACATCTGGAAACCGCTCTTCCCAATCCCCAGAAACCAAGAATCTATCCAGCCGAGAAAGTGTAACATCCTCGCTGCCACTAGCCCAATTGAAATAGGCTCCCTCCATTGGCAAATCAATAAGGTGATGGCCATCAATAAAGTCTGAAAACTACTCCATAGCTGAAGACCACCTTCCTCCTGAAGATCTCTCCGACGGGGATCTCACCACGTTAAAGTCCCCACCAACACACCATGGAAAGGCCTACAGACCCCTCACAACACCGAGCTCGTGCCACAGAACGTGTCTTTCCCCATCCTCCACCGGAGAAAGCCCACCTAAATCTATCCTCCTCCATAACAAAAGCGCAGGAAATAAAGAATCTTCCCCTCCAAACATCCACCCTTAACACCCATCTCTTAATCCCACATGATAAGGATACTCCTGAAGTCCCAACAGCCTCCAAAGTTTCCCACTGAACAAATCTCCCGCCCCAAAGGCTCTTCACTACCCTATCCGATAACGAAGCAATCTTCGTCTCTTGCGAACAAACCACATGTGCCCCGCACTTGAAAGCCCACCTAAATCTATCCTCCTCCATAACAAAAGCGCAGGAAATAAAGAATCTTCCCCTCCAAACATCCACCCTTAACACCCATCTCTTATCCCACATGATAGGGATACTCCTGAAGTCCCAACAGCCTCTAAAGTTTCCCACTCAACAAATCTCCCGCCCCAAAGGCTCTTCACTACCTATCCGATAACGAAGCAATCTTTGTCTCTTGCGAACAAACCACATGTGCCCCGCACTTCCTCACCGCCACCTTCACCACCTTCCTCTTATCCGGGTCATTAAGACTACGGATATTCCGCGAAATGATTCGAAACTTCACAAGGAAACAATGGCGCTCCCCTCCCCTTTACTCCTCCCTCTACCCCTCTCCCTCACCACCCCCTCCTTTCCCTCATAATTAACATAGCAAATGAAATTCCTTACCTCCCTCTCCCCTCTCCCCTCTCCAAGCAGAAGAACTCTTTCTAGAACTTCTCCTGCCCCTATTTGTTCCTTCTTCAACCCCACATCCCTCCCCTCTACCGTCTCCTTAAGGATCATCAAAGCTTGTTCGTCCTTCCCTTCAGAAGAGAGGCCAAATAACTCACTTGTCGGCCAATATTATCCATGACCCCTTCCCCCCCGTCTCTTCTGGAGGCATCATTGCCAGCGGCTCAACAAAGCCCAAACCAGAAGAATCTTCCCCATCCCATGTCAAAGAGTCAAAAGGTCATTCCCGCTGCTCCGACCTCACACTGCCTTCATCCCATCCCAACCCCTGCTCAGAATCGTCACAAGACAACCAATCAATGGAACTGCTCCTACCCCCCACCAGATTGTCAACCTGAGAGTCCGGGCCAATACACACCTGCTCGCCTACCTGCAATCTGTGTTTTCTCAGTTCTTGCAACAACGCTGCTGACTCATCATTAAGGGTGATGCAAATGTCCCTACCAACACAAACAACGGTCTTCTCATTACACACATCTTCTCTAACTGCTGGTGAGCTCAGTTCAGTCCTCCCAGCAGGTCGGAAAGTAGGAGGCGGACCCTTCTCCCTTCTACTCTGATTTACAATTGTAGAAGACGGTCCCCCACAAGAAGATGGAGCAGAGTGAGAGAAAGAAGACCTACCCGAAATGGAACCATCAACAACCACCTCTTTTGCATGCCATTTTTGTTTTTCTGCTCGCGACCATTTACGGTGACTGGGTCGGGGATGAGACGAAGTACATCAGAATTCAGATTAGCTGCAGACGGTTCGTGTATCTTCTGAACCTGTCTTGAGTTGGAGCCCTTTTTAAATGGGCCAAGCCTGCGCTCACCCCCTGTTTGACCCAACCCATCAAAACAATCTGAAGCTTTTTTTAGCAAAATGAAGTGGCCGTGTTAGTCCAACCCAACCCAGAGCAGGTATTCATACCCCCAGTTTCCTTTAGACGTGGTCCGCGAGTGTTAGTCCCAGCCTTAGGGCCCTTGGAGGAAAGGCCCGATGAATGAGTAGTTGGCAGAGGCCCATTTCTGCTTTTGTTAACATGGCCTCTCATTTTAACATGACCCCCCATTCTGCTTGTCCGCAGGTCCACGCCCCGGCCAGAGAACTTTAAATTACGTTGCATATCACGTGACCGAGAGCCTCTCACCACACGGTCTTCGACACACGTCCCACCAGCTGTATACCTTTTCTTATATCCGTTAAGTGTTTTGTTGACACATTGATCATGCCGCTCCTCCCTCACGCGCTTTTCCTTCGTGTGGACCACCACTCGCCTCTTACCTTCCACGACTTGCACCTGCAGAGACCCATTCTGATCTTCTGTTTCCGGTCAATTCACCACCGCATCCTCCCTCTTCGCTCTTCTCAACCCAGCCTCAGGACCCAATGTGTAAGCCTTATGAGTAGCCCATGCCACCGTCGCCTCCATTGTTGGAGGAGCTATTACAAAAAGCGAAACTCTGAAAGCAATCCATTCATCCTCCACGATCACATCATCTGGGACAAATCCACCATCGTTGACCACAACAACAAACTTCTCTGGATCGATCCTCTCGTCCTTCTCTATCCCAATGAAACCCCCACACTTCTCACCAATAGCTTCTGCCAGAGAATCACACCAAAGATGCAAAGGAAGGCCGTAGACCAAGATCCGGCAGATACCCTCCTTCTTCAACAGACCAGTACATCCCTCTCTATACCCCCAGTTGTCAAGCATGAGAAAGGCATCTCCCAACTCCCTTCTTCCATACACCAAAACCCTCTCTGCTGCCTGTCGAGATGGAAAGCGGAACAAAATCAAGGAGTCCGGCAACGCAAAAACCTCAACCCCATCCTCCACCTTCCAGCACGATGAGGCCCAATCAGAAATCTTTGCAATACAACCTACCTCTTTATCAAACCAACCCACCAGATATGATTTAAGAACATCCCTTCTCCGTTCAATGCTCTGATCGTCAACCCTAAAGGTCAGCCCCCTGTCTGAGTGCAAACAGATCACCTCACCGCTGGTAGGTAGTCGAGGGATCTTTGCAACCTCCAAATATGACCATTGCACATACCCCTTCGTGCGAACCAGAAAGGAACAAGATCGAAAAGAAAAGAAAGAGATCAAGCAGAGAACGCCGGAGTAGAGGACTCCGAAGTCAGAGATAAAGAGAGGCAGAGAGAGAGAGCATTCTTGCCACTGTTTAATACCACCAAATGTCTGTGGAGCAATTTGTAATATAAACATCAACATCAACCTTGATATTTTTATGTTACAAATAAGATTTCTCATTAGTTTAGAAATAGCTAAATGACTGAAATATTAAAGAAGGCCTATTATGGATAACTTGCTTCTTTTGCAAAAAGAAAAGGAGTGACCATGTATCATGCTTTATATTACAGGGAAGGTGGTTTGCGCTTTGGAATTTCTTTGCTTGTCTGGTCTCCTTTGGAACTTGTGCATTGACTGCGTTTTGTTTACTTCTCCCTTCTTGATATGATTACCACTTCTGTGATGGCGTTGGAGTTCAACATGAACATTGGAGCATAGTTATATTTTTCTCTTCCTTTCCCCTTTTTGCTGATAAGTATCGTGGTGATGCCTCTCCTTCTCAGTGGAGGAAGTAGCACGATGACTTAGCCTAAAAATAAGTTAATCCATATGATTTCATTTATCAATATTTGATTGAATGTATTATTAACGCCTACTTACATTCCAAAATTTATATTGGTTCTTTTTGTATTGTTTATTTAATTATGGAAATTATAGTAATCTAAATCTTGATTTTTTAACTGCATTTCTAGGGTGGGGGACCATATTATCTCATTGGTCGTGCCCTGGGTCCTGAGGTTGGAGTCAGCATTGGACTATGTTTTTTCCTTGGGAATGCAGTTGCTGGTGCTCTGTGAGTGTATATTATGAATATATGATCTCTCTTGTGATGACACAACAATATGGTTGAACATCATGAGGATGTGGCTAATAATTGTAGTTGTCATATTCTGTTTAATTTATTAAAATACCATACTAATATTATTGTCCTTGATTTTTACTTACTTGTGTCTTTTAGTTATGTTTTGGGAGCTGTAGAGACCTTTCTAAATGCCGTGCCTGGGGCTGGGATTTTTAAAGGTAATTCCTAAGTAATCTCTGCAGTTGACAGTTGACATTCAATTGTACTGTAAATGAAGCAGATTCATTGTGACATTCTTTTTCCTGATAGTGCATGTGAAAGTTTTCATTTGGTGGCAAATTGACATTGTATGGTTTGATTAATTGTGCATTTGTTGCTATAGCTGCACTGGAGCTGGGCCAAGGTGAACCTGGACCAACCCATTTGAAAAACAGTAACTCTGGGCCTGCTTAAGGCCCAAAAAAGCCTGTCCATGTAAATCCAAGCCAAGCCCATTATTCTCCCTTACAAGGCTAGGCTTGGGCCAGCCCATTCGTAAGCTTTCAAACTCCATTGAGATAATACTTATAAATCTCTGCATAATAGACATATGGATACAAGAATCCACTTGAGCAAAATCTCCATATTTGAATACTCTTACGATCTACTTCTCATACTTGGAAATATTTAAACTAGATAAAGTTTTATTTTGTAGAAGCCCTAATTTTGTACAACTAACATTGATTATAGGGCAGACTGTATTCAATTTGAGCCCTAAGACTAAAATGTTAATTTGAGGCCTTTTGTATTTAATGTATTAATATAACTTAAATGTATCATTTTTATTTAGAAATAATCCAATCTGCTTTACCAGAAATTTGAGGGAAAGTACAATGGGAGAGTCGTATGTATTTAATTATTAACATAATAAAAGAAACATGCAGTTAACACATAAAACCGCCTCTGTTTTGATAAATATTTAATCAGACATGGACATGGAAGTTCCCTTTTAAAACATACATTCTTTTTTTTTTGATGAAAATAATATTTTTTTATTTTTTTATATTTTTTTGATAAGTAAGAATTTATTAAAAACGCTCAAAAGGGGAGCGAAGCCCAAAGAAACAAAAGGAAACAAAAGGGCCAAAGGGCGCCTTAGACCTTTAAAGAGGCCAAGAAAACAATAATTTCCTCCATAGATCTATAATCTCTCTCTGAAACCCAACAAAAAAGAGTAGAAATAACAGAGAACTTAAGCATAGAAACAAGCTTCTTTTTTCCGTCAAAATATCTCTTATTTCTCTCAAGCCAAATACACCACCAAATACAAAGCGGCATAGCCTTTCAAGCGTCCTTAATGCCAGCCCCAACAGAGACGCCTCTCCAAGCCTCAATCAACCCTCTAGAGGAAAAAGGCATGGCCCAATGGACCCCAAATAATCGAAGCATCAAATCTCAACAATCTCTGGCGATGCTGCAATGTAAAAGGAGGTGATCAACAGACTCCTCATTACACAAATACATGTAACAGTGATTGACCACCAGCTGATTCCTCTTCCTCAGATTATCCTGGGTTAAGATCTTATCCAGGACAGAGGTCCAAGCAAAAAAGGCTACCTTGCGGGGAGCCTTGGACCGCCAGATAGACTTCCAAGGGAAGGGATCTCCATGACCAACCGAAAGGCATCTGAAAAAGGACCTAACCTCAAAACGGCCATGCGAGTTAGGAATCCAGAACCACCAATTCGATTCCCCAAAAGAAATCACCTGGCTATACAACAGCTCCAGAAAACGAGAAACATCCTGGATCTCCCAATCCTGGAAGTGCCTCCTGAACTGAACATCCCAAGACAGTATCCCGTTATCAAGATGATAACAGTCAACAACCATGGCCTGTCGATGAGAAGCAATCCTATAGAGCGGTGGGAACGCGAGAGCAAGAGGGAGTTCCCCACACCAGAGATCCTTCCAAAAACTGATCCTCTTTCCATCTTTAATACGAAAACGAACATGCTTGCAGAAGTCATCCCAACCCCTCCGAATGAAATGCCAAACTCCCACCACCCCCCTGGGACCACGCATCGCTAGAGAGCACCACCCACCACGACTTTTCCTAAATTTGCAAGCAATAACTTTCCTCCATAACCAATGCCTCTCGATCCCAAACCTCCAGAGCCATTTATCAAGGAGAGCCTTATTAAAAGGCAACAACCTCCGAAACCCTAAGCCTCCAAACGGAATTGGATGCCACACTTGATCCCACCGAACCAAGTGAAACTTGAACTCCCCCCCCCCCCCCACCCCCAAAAGAAAGTTGCACTGCAATCTTTCAATTCTCTCAGCCACTGAAGAAGGAATCTGAAACAGAGATAAGAAGTATGTAGGAAGGCTAGAAAGGGTGCTCTTAATCAGGGTAACCCGACCCCCCTTGGACAGGTACTGCTTTTTCCAACCCGCCAACCTCCTCTCGACTCTGTCCACAACCGGATCCCAGCTCCCCACACATCTCGAAGGGGCACCCAAAGGCAATCCTAAATAAGAAATGGGAGAAGAGCCAGTGCAACATCCAAGGATCTGAAGGTCTAAGGTGCCCTCTGGCCCTTGTGTTCCTTTTGTTTCTTTGGGCTTCGCTCCCCTTTTTGAGCGTTTTTAATAAAATCTTATAAAAAAAAAAAAAACATCCAAGGATCTGAGCAAACAACTCAATCTCCGGAACATCCCCAACAGGCACAAGAAGACTCTTGCCAACATTAACCTTAAGGCCAGAAATAACTTGAAACCAAATTAGAATGCATCTCAAATACCTCAGCCGGGACGCATCCGCATCACAAAACACAATAGTGTCATCTGCAAACATCAAATGAGAAACCTCCAATTGACTAGCAACTTCCTTGCCCACCCGAAAGCCTCTCAAAAAACCCAGCTCCACAGCCCTCTTCAGCAATCTGCTAAGAGCCTCCATCATAAAAAGGAACAGGAAAGGGGAAAGCGGATCCCCTTGTCTCAAGCCCCTCGAGCTAGAGAAGAAACCCGTTGGCGCTCCATTCACAAGGACAGAAAAACGAGCGCTAGAGATGCAAAAAAATGCATTCTGAGAGTCAAAAATGACACCATCCATCACCTTCTTCAACCTAGAGGCCAAGACTTTCGCAATCAACTTGTAAAAACATCCCACCAAACTAATAGGACGGAAGTCTCTAACATCCATTGCCTCTCCCTTCTTCGGAATAAGAGCAATAAAAGTTGCATTCAAACTTTTCTCAAAAGAGCCCTGCACATGAAAGGCATGAAAAGAGCCCATCACCTCCTCACGGACCACCTCCCAACACTCCAAAAGGAACCTCATAGTAAAACCATCAGGTCCAGGAGCTTTATCCCCATTACAGCTCTTCAGAGTTCATTCAAATTTATTGTAGGAATATTAAAAATAATTGTTGAAGGTTTACTAAAACTATTATTAAAAATTTAGGTACTTGGGCTGGTCTCTCTTATACAGGGCCAAGCTAGGCTCTAGGTGTTTTGGGCCCAAATACGTGCCTAGGTCTATCCCTTTTAACTTGGACTTTGGACCTGCAAGCCTTTATCTATCATATGGGCGAGTTATGCCTTTGGCTGACCAACACAACTTTGCAGCCCTATTTATTTTCTGAATTATTACATTTGTAGAATAATTTCCATCTAGTAATATTTTCAAATGCTTTCTTTGCTCCTATGGGGGCCTAAACACTCAACCTTCCTATTTGGAAGGTAGAGGAGAATCTCTAGGACGATAAAGGTAGTAGGTGTAACTTTTATTTAAATTGTGATATATAGTTCTTTTGTTCAAAGATTTCTGATGGGACAAGCATAACCATCTTATTTATTATTTAAACGATTTTGGTGATCTTGTTAACTATGTATGACCATGTTTACTTCTGATGACACATTGTAATGCATCCTATTTAATCCCCCAATTTTTTCTGTCTGCGTATATCTTAGCCAACTTATCATTGGCTGTTATTGGCAGTCAGGTAAACTAACTGAAATAATGTTCATCAATGCAGAAACTATCACAAAAGTTAATGGCACGGCAGTTGCAGAGCCCATTTCAAGCCCGAATTTACATGACCTTCAAATTTATGGGATCATTGTGACCGTCGTCCTATGCTTCATTGTGTTTGGTGGCGTGAAAATGATCAATCGGGTGGCACCTGCCTTCCTTGTACCTGTTTTATTCTCATTGTTTTCCATATTTGTTGGGATACTTTTGGCGAGGAAGGATCAACCAACAAGTGAGTGTTAAATTTTCTTCCCCCCCCCCCCCCCCCCCCCCCCACCCCAGTGCTGCTTGTTGTATTTAAACCACAAAAGTAGTGATATTGCAAGTACAATGGCGCACACATGGTGTGAGTAACCATGATTCAGAAGCATTTAATACACGGATCCTTTAATCCTGTCCTTTTTTCCCCTTCTTTTGTCTTTGAAACAAGTCTTTAGATGTCAAAATATTATGAAAAAGTTTTTGAAACTTATTGATGTAGAAAAATTACGTGTAAACTACAAACTAGTGTGATATCACAAGTGCAATGGTGCGTGCAAGCATTTAATACATGGATCCTCTAATCCTGTCCTTTTTTTTCATTTTTTTCTCTGAAACAGTTCTCTAGATGTCAAAATATTATTATTATTATTATTTTTTTTTGATAAGTAAGAATTTTATAAAAAAGCGCTCAAAGGGGAGCGAAACCCAAGGATACAAGAAGAAAAAACCAAAAAGGCCTCAAGCCTTTTAAGAGGCCAAAAACATAACAATCTCCTCAACAGAATGATAATCTCTCCCTGAGATCCAACAAAAGAGAGTAAAAATAATAGAAAACTTAAGCATAGAAATGGGTTTCTCCTTGCCATCGAAGTATCTTTGATTCCTCTCGAGCCAAATGCACCACCAAACACAGAGAGGGGTAGCCCTCCAAGCATCCCGGATGAGCGCCCCAACAGAGACACCTCTCCAAGCCTCAATCAACCCTCTAGAGGAACAGGGCATAACCCAGGGAACCCCAAACAACCCAATCATCAAATCCCAACAATCTCTGGCTATACTGCAATGCAACAGAAGGTGATCCACTGTCTCCTCATCACAACGACACAAGAAACAGCGATTGATAACCACCTGCATTCTCCTCTTCAAATTATCCTAGGTTAAAATCCTACCCAAGACAGACGTCCAAGCAAAAAAGGCCACCTTAAGGGGAGCTTTGGAACGCCAAATAGCCTTCCAAGGGAAAGTGCCACCCTCCCCATCAGAGAGGCACCTGAAAAAGGATCTCACCTCGAAACGACCCTGAGAGTGTGGACTCCAAAGCCAACAATCAGCCTCATCATGAGAGATCACCTGACGATACAGTAACTCCAAAAAACGTGTGATCTCCTCAATTTCCCAATCCTGAAAATGCCTCCTAAACTGAACGTCCTAAGTTAGTCTTCCGTTATCAAGGTGATAGCAGTCAACCACCAAGGCCTGCCTGTCAGAAGCAATCCTGTAAAGCCAAGGGAAAAAAAGAGCAAGGGGAAGATCCCCACACCAAAGGTCCTCCCAAAATCTGATCCTCCTACCATCCCTGATCCTAAAGCGAACATGATTACGAAAAACGTCCCATCCCTTTCGAATACAAGTCTAAACCCCCACACCCCTAGGACCACGCCCCTCAAGAGATCACCACCCACCACTGATTTCCCCAAACTTGCTGGCAATAACTTTCCTCCAAAGCCAAAGTCTCTCAACCCCAAATTTCCAAAGCCATTTCCCAAGAAGAGCCCTATTGAAAGGCAACAACCTTCGAATCCCTAATCCTCCACTCCGAAGGGGACGACACACTTGCTCCCAACGAACCAGATGATATTTGAACTCCTCTCCTCTCCCTCCCCAAAGAAAATTCCGCTGCAAACTCTCAATTCTCTCCGCTACCGAAGAAGGAATCTGAAAAAGGGAGATAAAATAGGTGGGAAGGCAAGAGAGAGTGCTCTTGATTAGAGTGACCCGCCCCCCTTTGGAAAGGTACTGCTTCTTCCAACCTGCCAGTCTCTTCTCAAATTTATCCACCACCGGATCCCAACTCCCCACACATCTCGAAGGAGCACCCAGAGGCAAACCTAAATAAGAAATAGGAAATGAGCCAGTGCCACATCCGAGGATCTGAGCATACATCTCAATATCAGGAACATCCCCGACCGGCACTAAAGCACTCTTTCCAACATTCACTTTAAGCCCAGAGACGACTTGGAACCAAATCAAAACACATCTCAAATGTCTCAGCTGGGACGCATCAGCATCACAAAGAACCAAGGTATCATCAACAAACATCGAGTGAGAAATCTCTAACTGACTAGCGACATCTCTACCCACCCGAAAGCCTCTCAACAATCCCAGATCAACAGCCTTTTTCAACAACCTACTAAGAGCCTCCATCACAAAAAGAAAAAGGAAAGGAGAAAGCGGATCCCCCTGTCTCAAGCCCCTCGAACTAGAGAAAAACCCCGTGGAAGCTCCATTCACAAGGACAGAAAAACGCGCACTAGAGATACAAAACAGAATCCATCTCCTCCAACGCTCCCCGAAACCCATCCTCTCCATCAAGTAGGTGAGGAAACTCCAACACACATGGTCGTAAGCCTTCTCAATGTCCAACTTACACAAAACACCCGGAACCCCACTACTCAGCCCGGAGTCCACACATTCACTAGCAATAAGAACCGAATCCAAAATCTGACGACCTCCCACAAAGGCATTTTGAGAATCAGAAATGACGCCATCCAACAAATAGCAGATGGCTAAGACTTTGGCAAGTATCTTGTAAAAACAACCCATCAAACAAATAGGACGAAAATCCCTAACATCCAGCGCTCCTTCCTTTTTCGGAACAAGGGCAATGAAAGTGGCATTCAAGCTCTTTTCAAAAGAGCCATGAGCATGGAAAGCATGAAAAGAGCCCATCACATCATCTCGGACCACTTCCCAACACTCCAAAAGAAAACGCAAAGAAAAGCCATCTGGACCTGGGGCTTTATCCCCATTACAGTTCTTCAAAGCAGACAAAACTTCCTCTTCAGAGAAAGGGACCTCCAAAAGAGAACAATCCTCATCCGAAATAGAGTCAAAATGAAGCCCAGCCAGTAAAGGTCTCCACTCAACCGGTTCAGAGAACAAAACTGAAAAGTAATCAGCAAAACTCTTACAAATCTCATCTTCCTTGCAAAACATCTCCCCTTCCACCCGAATCCTCCCGATATGATTGCCTCGTTTGTGAGCATTAGCAAGTCTATGAAAAAATTTCGTGTTGTTGTCACCTTCCTTGAGCCACAAAGCTCTAAACTTTTGCCTCCAAGAAATTTCCTCCATGACCGCAATCTCAGCAAACTCCGCCTGACACTCCACCCTCCTAAGCTTCAAGGAATCTGACAAAGACCCTTGACCCTCCAATCTATCAATGTCTGCGATCTCAGAAAAAACCCGATTCTTCCTCCACGCAAGATTACCGAAAATCTCTTTGTTCCAGACTTTGAGGTTACTTTTCAAAAACCGCAGCTTACCTGCAAAGGAATGACTAGGGGTGCCAGCAACAACATACCCCACCCACCAAGATCGGACACGATCCAAAAAACCTTCAGCCCGAAGCCACATATTCTCAAACCTGAAAGGGGATCTTCTACTGTGCAACCCACCACAGTCCAACATCAAAGGAACATGGTCAGACAAAGGACGAGCTAAAGTGGTCTGAGTAACATCCGAAAAGAGCTCCTCCCAATCACTCGACACCAGGAATCTGTCAAGTCTAGAGAAGGTAGGGGGAGAACGACCACTCGACCAAGTGAAGGGCCCACCCACCAAAGGCAGATCAATCAAACCAAAAACATCAATAAACTCCGAGAAAGCCTCCATCTCGACAGTCCACCTACCACCTGACGATCTCTCAAATGGGGAACAAACAACATTGAAATCCCCACCAATACATCAAGGCAAAGACCATCTCCTATGAACCTCTCCCAGCTCTGCCCGAAGCAAATGACACACACAATCCTCAATAGGGCCATAAATACCAGAAAAAATCCAACGAAAATCATCCTCCAACACAGAGAAAATGCAAGAAGCAGAGAAACGCCCAACCTGAGAATCCATCATAGAGATCCACCGATTATCCCACATCACAAGAACACCACCGGCAGAACCGATAGCATCCAGAGCAAACCACTCCACAAATCTACCTCCCCATAAACTACGCACCAACAAATCCGTCATCGTCTCAATCTTTGTTTTTTGCAAACACATAACATGCCCACCCCTTTTACGAATCACCACCTTCACCACTTTTCTTCTAACCGGATCATTGAGACCCCGTACATTCCGAGAAAGGATTTGTAGCTTCATAAGGAAACAACAGATTGGATAGACACATCCCTCCCTCCACCACCCTTTTCCTTACACCCCTTGTTGACAAGAGCCGTTGGGCTCAACACTCCCCTCTCCTCAACCTCCAACTCCCCCGACATGCTCCCCTTACTCTCCCTACCACCCATTCTATCCAAATTCTGAGAAGACAGAACCTCCATAAACATATTCGTCGCCTCCTCCATTCGTCCTTCAAAAGAAACTCCCAACAAAGAGCCAATTTCAATTCCTTTCTCCCTCACCCAACCGTCCTCCATAACAACCCTTCCTGAATCAGAACCGGCCCCATCCACAAAGACCTCATCCGGATGAACAACCACCAAAGGAGCAAAGAAATCAAAATTCGTCTCATTGCCATTCCACTGACCTGACCCCAAATCCTCAAAAAAAGAGCATGACCCACCATCCCCGTCCTTAAAGACTGACGAGGGAGGAGAATGACCATCCGGTAGAGTCCTATTAACCTCAGCAGCCAAAAACCCACTCATCCCACACTAAAAGCCCTTTAAAGCTAAATGAGTCCGCAACTCACTCAACAACACAGTCGCTGAAGCATCATCCAAACAAATTTTCATATCACGTCCCACACAAACTGTGACTCTCTCATTCTTCTGAATCACAGACCGAGATGTACCCAATCCATCAACGTGGCAAACCCCAACACCATCCTTTCGCCCGTTCTCCAAACTATCCTTCAAATTAGAGGAAAAACTCGAACCCCCTTGAGAAGGAGAAGGAGCAAAGGGAGAGAAGAAACAAGAAGGAGGTGCCTTAGAAACAATAGTGGACTTACCCGGATCCAAATCCGACTGCATAGACGTCACCCATTTCTGCTTATCCTTTCGTGTC